ATTAAATTGCTGTTTATTTCTTCATCCAAAACTTGGTTTGAACTTGATCCAGATCTTAGACTGTATTTCTGGAGGGGCATTCCGCTTGGCTGAATGAGAGGCTCGGGATCCAGTGTTTCTCTCACCACTTTTCACACACACTTTTGTATCGTGTGAATGTCTGGGGAATTAGCTTGTAGTACGCCACTCGGCTTTCTACTGGGTGCTATATCTGATGGAAAAGAGAAACAAATTCCTATAAATTAAATGTACTTCTTTATTCTTTAAGCATCGAATGGAAAGTGAAAAAAACACAAGTTAACAAATTTCGATACACCCTGTAGTAAACTCGATGAGAGAAGGTATGATTGTTTCATGCTTATAAACTAAAGATGAATAACTCCGAAGAAATCAAATTATGCATAACGCTTATAAAATGTATAAAATTCAGAAATCAAACTGTTACCTATTGTCATTCAATAATAAAGAAGAAAACATCTTGAAAATGTTTCTGACACTTAGCCGACGAATTTCTATCGCTTAACAAATTTACCTTCCTACATTGAAGAGTTCACTACAGGTTTAACAATATCAGCGCGGGAAGTTCAAATTTATAAAAAGAGATTTCAAAGAATCAAATTAAGAAACTTTGCACAAAAATTTCAATTAATTAATCACAATTTTAACAAACAATACAAAACACATTAAGTAAAAATAAATCAGTATCAAACAAGTATGCAAACAAGTTAAAGGTAAGAAAGTCATACAATTCTAAAATTATGAATAAAGTGACAAACTCAAAGTTCACCAAAAAGTTAAAAATAATAGAATGTTTGCCCATTCAGAATATAAAACATAAAATCTATTGAATTCATCAAAAGAGCATAAAAACAATATTTGAATGAAAATTTACTGAAAATACCAAAATAAATTTATTCAAGCTTACCTGATGGAAAAGAGAAACAAATTCCTATAAATTAAATGTACTTCTTTATTCTTTAAGCATCGAATGGAAAGTGAATTTCATGAATTCGCTTTCCACCCGGCTTAATTCGGAATTGCTCTCAATGACCAATCAGGAAGCTTGATTTCGATGTCCTTAAGCTAATTTTTTTGCAGAATTTCTTAGATGAGTTGACACTAATTACTTATGTTAACAAAACAGCGAAAAGTGTTAAAGTCAATTACCTAGTTTCCGAGAAAAGAGTTATTAACAAAGAAAGGATTAAGCTGACCGATGGTGAAAGTAAATAATTTTATCTATAAAAAGTTCCGATGTGTCAACTCAATCTTCGAAAGAATTTATTTCAAAAGAGGCCGAAATTGGAAAGAATTTTCTTATTTACCTAAAGGTTAAAACAGCTGTTAGATGTCCAGTGACATGGCAATTGAGTACAAAACATGCCAAAATCAAAAGAATTGCCGATGTAAATGAAACTGAATTTGCTAAATAACACATATATTTCTATGTAAATTTATACTCAAATCTAAGAGAGTGATCATTCAAAACATATTAAATTGATTATTTGAAATTGAATTAATTTGAACACTTAAAATAAAATGTAATTAAATTTGCATATTTAAAATGAAGTGAAATATGATTTAAAACAAAAGTAAAAATTTCATTAAATTTCATAAGTGAAATTTCATGCGATATAACCAGACTGTTATAGATAAGTTTAACTTGATAAAGTCTAAACTTTTAATGTAACATATATATATATATATATATATATATATATATATATATATATATATATATATATATATATATATATATATACTGAAACGCAAAAGAAACACAGCAAGCAGTAATCTAAAAATATTGACTGCCATGCACAACAATTGCAGCTTGATTTCTACGATGCAATAGGTTCATCAATCTCGAGATCTGAGCGAAAGAAATATTCTTTGCCATTTTGAAATGGCTGTTTTTCAGATGATGAGGTCGAATTTTCTCTAGCAATTTTCAAATAAAATTTTTTATATTACATTGATTTTTTTCCCGTTGCAGTTGGCTACATAACATTCCAATTACAGGTCTATCTATCTTATAATTATGTGTTCAAAGAATAAATATTGTTTTGTTCTTCTTCATATATGTAAAAAAAAAAACAAACAAACAAATAAGAAAAAATCATATTTTTCAATGTAATTATCGATACCGTTCTCAGAAGCTCACTGGTCAAAGAGGAACAACTCTAAAAATTTCGGACATGTTTGTTTTGCCCACCCTTTAGTTGAGTTATTTCTGTTTTCGGAACAATTATGTTTTTTCACAAATACACAGATACGTTTACTCAGACTGGACTGATGAACTCGAGAACTGAATACTATAATGTATACAAAGTAAGTATCGAAAGCGAAAAAGAATTGTTTACAGAAATTATTTGAATTCATGAATATGTCATTGCAGAAAACTGTCCGACCTTCTGTCACTATATCAGTGTCGGTTCGCATTTCCTCGAATCAAAACAAAACGTCTTATATCACTGTATACATGAATAACTTTAAACTACATGAAGAATTCAAAGTTTGATACATTGAACTTAATATGGACGAACAAGAATTTTTCATTTTATCTATAAAAGCAACGGAAGTATGCATTCAATATCGGGGTTGAGGGGTGGGGGTGGGGTGGGGGGTGTTTGGGGTTAACCCCACACACTCCTTAATTGTTTGAAAATATTAAGAAATTATAAGTATTCCATTTATATCACAGAAGAGTTGATTGTGGGTTCACTTTTAACACTAAATAAAATTAAAATTCATTAAATAAAAGTCAGTTTCAATGTCAGTTGAATTTCATATCCAAGTATGAAATATGAATGCATGTGTGGACTACATACGGTTACCGGACACTTGGGCATAAAATCCTATGTAAGATTTACTTAAATACAAAACATACTAGTAGTCAATATTTAATATTTAAAACATTGCTGTGACGTCATGCCTTTGTACTTGCAGTCTAAAATGTTACCTGTAGCCGTCCAATAATAATAATTAGCAGTCCAATAATATATTATCGGACGGCAGTGATAACAAAATCGGACAGTAGTTAAAAAACAACAACTCGAGTGAAATCAAGGTTTATTATGTCCAGAAACCAAAGAAAAAAAAAAGTTAGGGAGAAAAAATTCAGGGAAAGCGAACGCGAGGAAATTAAGTTGTTAAAAATAGCAAATCCAAGAAGAAACTTGAGTTTTGACCTTCCTCAAAAGTAACACTTTCCATACGTTTTTTTTTTTTTTTTTTGCAAAGCGTTTTCGATACAGCACTGTGAATAAGCCAATTTAAATCCATTTTTGATAAAGAACCAGTCTGCGAATCTCTTCATTTAACAAGGTTTGTTTGCCAATGACCGCACTTTTAAAAAGATGTTCATTATATCATTCAATCAAAATTTTAGATAAAATCCGCATTTTTACTTTAAATGCATTTTGAAGATATCATCCAACACTGTATCTGAATCAATGTCAAACGCACTTAATAAAAGAAAATATTCCGAATCATAAAAAAATCCTGCATAACCTGACCACTGTCCATAGTTCCTGCTAAGCCAAACGACTGCCATTGAATGAATGAAACAAAAGAGTTCACTCACTGATTTTACTGTCTAAAGTAAAAAACCTTCTCTTTTCTTTTGTCTACTTATTAGATGGTTTCAGGTAGAAAACTATTGATGCCTGAACTCCTATTGTGTAATTATCGGACTCCTCCAGGTAACTTTTGGACATTTAAATAGCAATGTTTTAAGTAAGATATATGCCTCATACAATTCTATATGTAAAATTATCAGACTGTTTTCGGCCCTAACGGGCCTCAAAGAGTCTGATAATTTTACATATAGAACAGTATTCGGCATATATCCATTACGTATACACGAGTTAACAAATCAGTACTTCAAGAATTCAGTGAACTAAATACATCTGCAATATATTCGATGTTTGATCAAGCTCGAATAGTCTGTGTCGCAAAAAAGAAAAGAAAAGGGGAGGGGGGGGGGTAGTAAAAAAGTGCTTATAAATCTGCATTTAAATGCGCTTTACATTTGAAAATTCGGATAAAATAAAATGTAAATATAATTTTTAAAGCAAAAGATTTCCAACTTGAATTTTTGATGTGTATTTGTAGATTCATGGCATTATATCGTCCCAAGTCTGAAAGACGCTTGAGAAACGTGATTTAGGGAGTAAGGCGTACTGGTTGTTTTTCCTCTATAAATTCAAAACGAGTCGTTAAAAAAATTACAAAAAATTATGAAGATTATTTTTGCAACCAACTACATAAAGAAAGTATTTTTTTTCCAAATTTTAACGATAGGTTTTTTCCATAACAAATATTTAAAATTGAAAAATATGCATTTTTCAAGGCTAAGATGAACAATGTTTTTTTTTTTTTTTTTTTTTTTTTTTTTTTTTTTTTTTTTCAGTTCAGGGTCTTCAAAAAAAATTGTGTCGATATATACTTCTACAAAATTACTTTATTTGTGTGTTTAATGGTCAATCGAATTAGTCGATGAAGTTTGATAGCCAGGTTATCCCAAGGATTTTATAGTTGGTTGATTGAAAATTTTTCTCCTCGTGAACAGCTAAAGAGGGGTGACTTTTGGAACTTCTGTCCAAATACGACTTGAACGATTTTGTCCAAAATGTGTAACACATAGTAGATACAGTCAAACATAAAATATACAAAAATAACGAAAATCAAACGACAGAAATTTTCGGTGGTTGGTGTGTTGTACATCCTTAAGTTGCATGTTATCTGTAAGTAATGTCATGAAATACTTTAATTTAATTAAGATACATTGATATCAGGTGAGGCACTTATGCTTGATGAGTAACACATGGACTGAAGTTGAAATGAATATCAATTTAGCATAAAAGTGATAATTAATGAAGAATGGGTTTAAAAAAAAAAGATTGATCTTATTTTTAGTTTCCAAACTTTTTTAGAAGTATACACATGTACTTGTCTTCATGAACTTTATCGGTATTTAATTTTGAACTTGATTATTTCAGATCAAAAACTGACTTTGGATATGAAAAGCAGAAGACCTTACTTGCAATCCTGATACCTATGTGTGCATTTTCTATAATTGTTCTCCTTTTCCTATTTCTGAAGAAAGAGAATGCAAGTGGTAAATGTTGGGCTTCTTGTCAGTTAATATATTTCGAAAACTATTGATGATAACAAATGGAATTGATAAGACTATTTTAACTTGTACGACTATGAAAGAACGAACTCAGTTTTAATTAAATTGGGAAAGATCAATTTGATAATTTGTAACCGTTTTCAAGAAAATATTTATTTCAAAGGTTCCGTTGATAAGTGAATTGAAATACATTTGACTAGATGTGTCGTAACGCCACGATGCCCCCGCAGGTAGCCATTTTAAACTCTTTCTGAGTTCAAGAGGAATAATTCTGTCAAAAATCGTCGGACCAGGACCAAATTCGAACTTGAACTGTATTTTCTGGTAAAATACCTGCATAATATGCAATTTCAAACTTGACCTGTATCTTCTGGTAAAATGCCTCCATATACAATTCCAACCATATACACACATCCCTACACAAGAAAGAAAGAGGAAACTAAAAAATTCCTATTTTTTCAAAGTTCACGAGAGATAACTCTCAAAAATCATCAGACCACGACCAAATTCAAACTTGACCTATATTATCTTGTAAAATACATGCACATGCATTTTCAATCTTATACATACATGTACATCGATCTAAAAGTTACAGAGAGGAAACTGAAAATTTCCTTTTTTTTCCCCAAGTTCAACAGGGATAACTCTGTCAAAAATCATTTGACCATGACCAATTTCGAACTTGACCTGCGTATTCCCTGATTTATCCATATGTCAAATTTGAGTTGAATGTGTGCAACTGTTGCCGAGATAAAGGACAGAAAGTCTATGATAACGGAAAAGGGTAACACTATATTTTATCGCGGGCGGATAATAAAGGCCAAAATAGCTAGAAAAAAATTAAAAGTGACAAATTTTACCCTTTGATGTTTAACCTAAGGTAAATCATTAAAATGGATCCCTCACACTTATCCTCACCGTATAATTTGTTTCCCTTGTTTCTAAACAAAGCTTTTGCATGGGATTGCAAAATAACAAATCATAATAGTGTAAAAAGGAATTTTTGTTTTACGGAAGAGGGGAGATATTTTTAAAATATTCTCGGTTTTCCGTTGAGTTCTGTAGTAAAAAAAAAATATCTTACCAAAGTTTTCTCTCTTTGTTTTCATTTCAATACAGGAAACAAGAAATCTATAGAAGATAGAGAAAATGGCATTTCAAATGAAAGTGATGGCGAAATGGCTTTTACTTTAAAAGGTATGGTGATCAGGAGGTTCCGGGTCATTGTTTCCGGCGCTGTGTCTAACCTATGCTGTTTAATTTAGATGGTCACTGTCCCTTCGCCAAGCTCGAACAAGAAGTGAAAGTCCTTCGAAAGACTTTCGTATGTGACATTGCAGTGTGACGCAAAAATTAACAAAAATAGAATCTTTCAGGACACATGCAATTTTGTTCACTTCTTTAAAGTATTAGGTTTCAGAAAAGTGCAGGTTTCAGAAGTTAAATTTTCATATTCAATGAAAAAAAATGTCTTACCAAAGAGGAATATTATTTCAATTCTTCCTGCTCATTGCATGTGTGCCTTGAAAAGCTGAAGACGTTTGAAAGTTCTTCTCCTAAGAAGTGAATATCGTAGATCTAGATTTTTGATACAGTCTTCAGTAAAGATATCAAAATCTATTCTTCACTTTTGCATGTTCCAATTCAATACTACATTTATTTACAAAATTTATACTAAAAATAAGAGTTGCTTAATCTTGAATTGTTTGACAACTATGATACGGAATATACGACCTTCGTTTTTATGATTTTCACACTTACATTGTGCAGTCTTTCTTACTTTACAGTGAAATGGATTAATCAAAACTTTGTTATACTTGTATTTTTCATAAATCTTTAGCTTTCTGATATATATATATATATATATATATATATATATATATATATATATATATATATATATATATATATATATATATATATATATATATATATATATATATATCGTTCTCTCTTAGAAGAGCTTGATTTGGTTCATAATGTAACTCTAAAACCAAGGTTCCAAGTCACGGTAGGCGTTGCATGAGAAAGATTCTTCACGACTACCAGACGAAAAATGAAACTACAAAATTTTTTTAATCTTCTTTGTAGAGGTTTATTTTATATTTAAAAAGTAGTTCTTAATCAAAATTTGTAAGACCGAAAAAATGAAGATATTTTTCCATTATTCAAATTTAAATAAAGTCATTGTATACGTGTAACAATACGAGGATGTGCATAATAATCTGTGACTTACTTGAAATCATTTGAAATTGACATTCAAGATTACACGTTTATCTGCTTTAAAAAGAGAAAAAAAAAATGTGTTTTAAGACATTAATATTTTTCTTTATTTAGGAGAAAATAAAGAAGTTCAAAACCCTCTTGAAATGAAAACAGACTTCTTGAAATGTCTTTGCAAGATAGTGGACTGTGAAAAAGGAATGGATGGTTTAAAGGAAAAAATTCGTCATTCGCCATATTATGATAAATATGCTGAATACCTTACCGAGAAAACCTCCCCAGTATTGAGCGTTACAGGAAACTGGCGTGAAGACATCGGTATTCAAGCTGCTGCAGATATATTCAACATCAAAATATATGTAGTTCACACTCATATGCAAGAAAGAAAAAAGACTACTATCTTTCTTCCAAAGGACATTGCTGCTGAAAGATGGATGAAAATTTCAGTGGAAAAGGAATTTCAATATACTTATCTATCAGGTAATAATGCTATGCACAAATAGACCCCCCCCTCCCCTCCCTCCCCCCCCCCCCCCCGAGAATTATGAGGAAATACTGTGATACTTACAATTCAACATTTGTTTACAGACGTATGTCTTCTTGTATGGTAACTTTTCACATTCCATTACAGAATGTTTCTTAGTTATGATTATATGGTTTACTTAAAAAGGTACACAGTAAGAATTCCCCAGGTTTCATAAATGATGATAAATCAAGTCTTGATTCAGATCTTCATAATTTTTTTTTTTTCAATTGAACCCTAGGGGAAAAGTGATGGCATGTTTTGATATCTATCTCAGATATTAATTGCTGGCATCTGGATGGATATTACTAACTTGAATTAATTTTTTTTAATGATTAACGCAAATCAAACATAAAGATAAAATATTCATGATACAGATTGTGACACTTGTAATGAAGAGGAAGCCGAGTTGTGGTATGATGATTTATATGAGTTGCCAGATCAAGATTCAAAAGGCCAAGAAGGTAATCAACCGACGAATCTTCTTTAGTTCCATCACGAATGCACTGAATAACAAGTACTCTACTGACCCCAAATATATATATATATATATATATATATATATATATATATATATATATATATATATATATATATATATATATATATATATATATATATAATCATAAAAGAAAAAGAAAATGCACAGTTTCCAAATTTCATTTAAAACAAGCGCTTTCTGGATTTAACAGTCCTTCTTCAGGTGTACATACTTTGAACTGATTTATTTTGCTTGGTAACGTTAACTATGACGTCATGAGTGTCTTTGCAGGGAAGGAATAAATCCATGACGTCATAGTATAACGTAAAAGTTCGGGAAAATTGAATTGGACAATAAATCATGATTTTCTCAGTCTCAATAAACAAAGTATTCAAGAAATTAATTATACAAGAAAGACGTGAACTTATCAAAATTAATGTTTGTTCAGTTTTGGTGAAAATAGATTTATAAAGTAGTTCTCTTTCACTATTCTCATTACGGCTGAATCGTACCTAAGTTTATAAAATGGAAAGACACAACAGTTTCCTTGAGAGCAAATGTCGAAATGCTCACTGCATGGCGTGTTTCTAATGCTCGGATTATTGATTTGCTGACGGTGGACGCGCATGCGGGCTGTTAATTGGGATCCGGTTTGACCGATGTATTCCTCTCCACAGTTGTTACAAGTTATACAATAAAGAAGATTTTTGGTTTTACACGACATGTTTTCATTTACAAAAAATGTTTTTCCACACTTGAAAATAATAGAGGATCCTGTTCGTATATAAGGGCAGGTACCACATCTTGGATCACCGCATTTTGATACTGTGTGTTGTTCAGGAATGGAGTTGAATTTAGCTCTGGTTAATATTTTTTTTAAATTGGGTGGTTGCGCAGTACAGTTAAGGTGACAAATGGAAATATAGGCGAATTTTTATATAGAAAATACATTCTTTACAAGGATGGGCGATTCTTTTTAGGACTTTACTATTATCAGACAAATGTAATGTGGTTGAAAACTACATGTTGGGAACGATTAAATTTCTTACCTAGACTTGTGACGTAATGTGGCAGTCACGTGATTTTAGCAAATATACCTGCAGTATTGAGGTCATCTATAAATTCTAATATTGCAAGGGTATAATCACGTTGAAAATCTAAGTTTAATTTATAATTATTTTCAACACTCTTTGTAGTTTGTGAAAAGTGCTGCGGACCTATATAGATTCTACTATATGACTGCTAAAATAACGTTTGTTAGACCATATGCTGAATATTTTGCTGGTCAAGTACATTAAATAAAGATATAATTAATTTATTTGCAAGTTTTCATCAGGTTCGCAGCACTTTTCAAATATCTTCATACCTCTTGAGTTTATGTGTAAAAGCTTGTCATAATTCATTGAGGGTATGCCCTTGCAATATATCGATTTATTACGATCCTTTTATTACCCTTCAATGAATCTGCATACAAATATACGGCAGTATCGCTTGTCTAATAAATGTACGGGAAGTATATGATTAAAATCATAAAATATACATTGCATCCAAGTTAATGGCCCTTTATATATCTGCAAATATTTACATTTCCAGGTATTTTTCCTTACGATTTTTTGCAAATTAGATGATTGTTCATTTTCTCATGAACTACCATGAGATGAGCATGAATATCTCCATTGTTACGTCATAATACTGTACTTGACGTCAAAACTATAGTGCAAACTGTTTTGCTTCAAAAATGACAGTTGAATGGCGTAACTTGTGGAAACTCATCAGAAAAATAATGTAAATATAAGAAATGAATTTAATTTTTGAAAATTCATGAGGTACATGAACTACAACGCTTCACGCCGGCATATTTATCATGAAGCGCTAACGCGCTTCATGAAATATGCCGGCGTGACGCGTCGTAGTTCATGTCCTCATGAATCTTCAAAAATTAAATTCATTTCTTAAATATATTTTATTTACTTACAAAATACATTTTTCATTGTATAAAATCTAACTTGATCCGCCTCTTACTGCATACAAACTGCGTCAAATTTTGCGATATGACGTCACATTGACAAGTGCATTGCGATCAGTGAATTGTTTATATATTGCTCTGTGGGATTAAACCAACGACAAAATACATGCAATAGTAAGTATTGATGTAGTTTAAAACTATCCAAATGTTTAAAATAGCAATTCATTTCATTTTGTGGTAATTTGAAGAACATATACATTTGTGTGATGTCATAGTAAGCGTTTCCCGTAAAATTTAGGCCCCGCCTCCTTATTGCAGCCTTAACTGTGCTGCGTGTCGTTGGCTGTGAATTAAGTCCGATTTCTGTATAAGTTGTTGCAGATCATTGTCCCGTTCGATGATTGTAAAGTTCTTTTTCGCCTCTTGGAATATATTTATATGTTTTGGATTATATGTTGTTACAAAAGGGATTAAGATGGGATCGTTGTCCTTTTTTCTGGTCGTTCTTAATATATGTTGCGGGATTTTCTTGGATTCTTCTATGGCAGAAAGGATAAGATTTTCTGGATAATGTTGTGCAAGAAGAAATGTTTTTAGTTCTGTCAACCTTCAATTTCTAGTATAGAAGAATCCAAGAAAACCGCAACATTCCAAAAACGGAAAAGGACGTGCTTATAGCAAAGCATGGAGAATGTATTTCGACAGACATATACTACAAACCGACAGACACACATCAGTATCTCCATTTCAGTTTCTGTCATCCAAGTCATACAAAACGTTCGATCCCGTACAATTTAGCTAGAAGAATCTGCACTATTGTTAGCGACAAGAAAAAAAGAGATGAACGTCTGAATGAATTTAAAAAAAATATCTGCTTGAACAATGCTATCCTCTTGGAATCATTGAGAACGAAATCAGAAAGGCTATAGAAATCGACAGAGATAAACTTATTAATTCTTCAAAAAGTGACACATCAGATTCTGCAATATTACCGCCTGTAACTACATACAATCCAAAGAACAGGAATATAACCCCTACAGTGCGCCACCTCAACAACATTCTACAGATGGATGAGAAAATGTCCAAAGTACTGGAAAAATATAAATTCATCAACAGTAAAAGACAACCTAAAAACCTCCGAAGAATATTGTGTAAATCTACATTTCACCAACGGAATTCGTATATGGTCAATAAATGCTCTGATTCACGTTGTGGAACCTGCCAGTATATTAAACTCGAAAATAAAGAATTTACTATTAATGCAGATATGACCTGTGCATCTAAAAACGTTATTTATTGTATAACATGCGCTGGATGCGGACAATTATACATAGGAGAAACGGGGACCACACTACGCACTCGTATACGCATACATAGACAACATATCAACCAACCCGAGTACAGAAAAATAAAACTCAGTGAACATCTTGCTGTTTGTGGACAGGGACAGTTCTCAGTTTATCCCTTTTATAAACTCAAAACAGAAAATCTTTTAGAAAGACGGGAAAAAGAAAAACATTTCATCAAGATTTTTAAACCGGCCTTAAATAGTTTAATATAGACTGTTTCATGACTTTATTATTTATTACGCTATTAATGAACTAAGTAATTTTACTTAGACTCTATAATTGTTTCCTCTATAAGCATTGTAACGTCATTGCATTGTTGTTGACGTTATCATCAGGTACCGTTATAACGTCACATGTTTGAATTGTTTTGAATTGTAAAACGTCTGAAGAAGTAATGAAAGCGCTTACGTTTTACTAACATTGTTGCCTTGTTATTTTTCATTTTCATATATATATATATTTATATATATATATATCTGTGGGTGTGAGCGTGTGAGTTTAAAAACTCTTGAGAAGAAGAGACTCAAAGGATTGTTTTTTTCCATTCGATATGATATATAACTATTTTTTTCTTCTTTTTTTCCAGATGTTTTCATTTGTTGAAAGAAGATGATATCAGCATAAACTCAAAAAATACATCAATAATTCTCATCTTAAATGGGCTTGCAGATGTTATGGATTTTTTTTAAATAAGTAATTGACAACCCTCCCTCTCCTCCGTATTTTGCATTCTTTCATGTACATTTTATAAATATTTCGAAATCATTGATAGAGACTTTATATTGTACCAATTACTAGTGGATATCATTTATAGCAAAGCGTTAAACTTAGCAAAACTGGCTAGTTCCCATGGTTTACTCTAGTAAAACAAAATTTGTCACATACAGTGTAATGACCTTGGAACATATATAAGTTTTGGAGAAATGTTGTATACAGTGTATATATTGATATCAGCTAATTACGTGTTGGGCCTTCAATGTATATGCTATATAGACTTTATCAGTGGTGAAAAGGATGAGGGATCTTGTGAACAGAATTCGAAGATTCAAACTTTATCATCAGATTTATATGATCATTAGAGAAACGGTTTTTTTTTACTTCTGCAGACTGGAAAATTCTATTAAGTTATCATATACATGTACAACTATGTGTGAAATTATTAATCAAAGGATTCATTAGGGAATGATAATTAACTTTCATCTACTGATACAATACGTACCAAATATAGGTATATGCATCTATAAATATCTAGGTATATATCCCAAAGGACTGTGTGCAACTGTACAGTATATATGAATTGTAATGCATGGTGCATTCTGTTATCTGCGTATATGTCTCTATTTAGAAGATTAATTATTATATGTTTAACTGAAGGATTAATGTTTATTTATTTTTCATTTGTGAAAAACAACATATGGTCAATTTGATATGGACAACATAATAACCAAAACTGTAAAATTTAACACTTGCCTCAGTTTATTAGATCAGTTCCAGTTGAGGACAAAATTGTCATAACCTGACTCCTGATAACTCATTATATTTCGGTGACAGTGACCGTCAAGGCCCTAGGGCCTTTTATTTTTCATTAGTTGGACTGAATTTTATTTAAGGAAACTTTTATATTTGCATTTTTACTAATATTTCAGAATTTGTCAATTTTGATATCAAAATATCCAGACAGAGTTCATTAGTAGCTTTCATAATTTAAAAAAGGAAATGGCAATTACATGTAATAGATTGCTGTTAATCATATCCATTTTTCTGAGAAGTATAAATTTTGTCCATGAAATCAGGCTTTTACAGGCGTCACAGGATTTAGTGTTTGTTTGTTTGTTTGTATGTTGTTTAACGTCCCTCTCGAGAATTTTTCACTCATATGGAGACGCCACCACTTGCCGGTGGAGAGCTGCAAATTTTGTCCTATACTCGGCCATTGAGCAGTGAGGGATCTTTTTCGTGTCATCACCTACTGCGACACAAGACCTCGGTTTATACGGTCTCATCCGAAGGACCGGTCTCCACGTCCCACAGTGGGATTCGAACCCGCGACGTAAGGATCAATTCCTTACTTCGCGACTCTAGAGCAGACGCTCTAACCACTGCGCCACACGGGCGACCAGGATTTAGTTTAATGCGGGAAATGAATAAATAGCCACTTAATCCTTAAATTTAAATAATAATTTGAAAAAAAAAAATTGTTCAGTGTATATGTGCATTTTCTTTCAACTTATTTGACAATCTTAAAATGTGTCAAATAATATTTGGGTCACCTAACTCGGTTATAGATAGCTATAGCAGATGAATGAGGCCCGATAAAGGATGTGGGGTCTGTCATAAGGAAAACAACAATGCTGTTGACAATGAAGAATTTTGAGAACTTATTTGTAGATAAAGGTAATAGATCCCATTGTATAACAAACATTTAATATTGGTCAACTATTGAATATAAGCATTGAATGCACATCTGGTGTATCCAAAAATGGTACCGTATATGATTTACATACAGTGATCAATTTCATAAATCCAGTGAACAAAACGAATCGTGAATAGGGCAAAAAAGAGCACGGATCTCTTGAAACGCCAGAGGTGGGATCAGGTGCTTTGGAGGAGTAAGCATTTCCTGCTAACCGACCACACCCGCCCTGCTCCCTAGGTATTGATCAGGTATGCAGAGTTATCCATAGTCAAATTTAGTAAAAAAGCAATGATCATTCCAAAACTGTTGCTTCCAAATTTCTCAGTTATAACAAACCTTACAGTGCCTAGATATTGAAAATACAAAAACAAATTCTCTTACGTGTTCTTCCTCTTCTTCTTTCAACTACAGTGACGCTGGACACGTTATTACTGGTGATGTCAATATATTTGAAAATGAAGACCTAAAAGCAAACATCTTAAAACGTCCTTAATACAGGGAGCCACTATATATCTTTCAATTGGCGATATAAGTTTATTTCTATGCCACACGTTGGGCTAAATATGAAGAAGACCTGAACACTTTGCCAGGGTGGATTTAGTGTTTTAGAAATATATTAAACAATCGTAATATATGTAGTTAAAAGACAATATGCGAACCGCTTGTCCTTCCATTTTCACTAAATCGGATTTGATGAAAATAGGAACAATATGTTATGGTTCCAGTATACAGGACTTAACGTCTTTGTTTGTGAGAATCGTTATTATAACTGTATTTTACATATATAACGTGCTTTTAATTGCGCATCTTGATATCCAACTTGTACTCACAGTTCACTTTCTGTGGATGAAATTCTTCAAAATCATTTTTCAGTGCACGTGTTTAGTACTTTTAACATTCCAGTCAACCAAGATAAGTTTATGATCTACCCTACATATAGTGGATTCCTAAACTGCATAAAAATCCATACAAACAAAGACACATTGCAGGTTCCAGCAAAAGCTCCACCAAGCCCCTATCTTTATTCCTTACAAAATATTAGCTGTAAACGTATTACATTTGGCTTTGTATTCTGTTTAGCGCTTTGGCGTAAAGCAACTTATGCCAATTCAAATACAACGCTGAATGTCTAGCACATATAGACATAAATAAGAACATTTAGAAATGTGCTTAATCAAATCTACGCTAACTTATTCAAAAATTGATATATTTCCGCCAAATATCGTACACGCTTCATACGTTGTATAATACATTTACAGTTCTTTGTCAAAAATCACTCTGATTCTACACACAAGTACTCTGAAATTAATAGTAAAAGGATGCTTGAGTTCCCCATTGACAACATTATGTAGTCTTCGCAGACCAAGTCTTCCAACAAACTGTTGAAATTCCGTGGGCATGTATTGTGCTTTTATTAGCTGACCTGTTTCTATATTCCTATGAAGTAGAATTTATTCGGAAATTTCTACACGAGAAGAAGAAAACAATTGTTGTGGACTTTAACTCGCCATTTAGATATATGTTCGACCTTTTAACAATTAAGGTAGGTTGCAGGTTTGCCTTGTAATCAATTTTGGTACACAATTTTGACGATTGGAGCGGTTGTTTTGTGCACATCATGATTATGACGTCAGTTACGTCACAAAGGCGACGTTGCGCTGTTTCCCGTATAATTCCTTGAAAATGGCTCCATAAGTACGAATCAAGTAGATTAATACAAAGTTCATGCTATTGTAAAACCTCGTGCACGTACAAACCAACTCAACCAAGACCGGGCATTATTAAATTACAATCTAAATTCTGATGCGATTATGTGTAATATCTTAGAACAAACTAAATACATATCAAAAGAAAGGAATAATTTTTATCGTAAGTGTTACAATACTAAACAGCTAAATGTCAAACAAAATGAGTCATGGTAAAAGTTATGGTATGCAAAAAGAAAAAAGGCTTAGCCGAAAACTTGGAGGGTTGTATGTGCGTACGTAATTTGCAACTCAAAGGAAACATGAGTATTACACTATGTTTTCCAATCAAAGCCGGGGCCAAAATATTTTTATACTTTTAGGATGGAATCAATCCTCAACACTAAAAACAGATGAAATTTAATTACTGGTATTTTCCTGTATTTTATTCTGTATTATTTTTATTATCATTATCATTTGTTTATATTTTTTTTTTTTGATTGTCGTGTAGTATGTGAAATACATTAAAAAAAAAATTTATATAAACACCCGGACTTTCAGACCTATATGACACTGTTAACAGATAATAGTTCACAAGTATCATGTACATTTTTTTTTCTATATAACAAAAGCTGTCTGTGTATAAGCTAGATGTTTGTTCGTTTTGTTTTCTTTTTTGTATGTTGTTTAACGTCCCTCTCGAGAATTTTTCACTCATATGGAGACGCCACTACTTACCGGTGGAGAGCTGCAAATTTTGTCCTATTCTCGGCACTTACGGCCATTGAGCAGTGAGGGATATTTTTCCTGCCAGCACTGCGACACGGGACCTCGGTTTATACGGTCTCATCCGAAGGACCGGTCTCCACGTCCCACAGTGGGATTCGAACCCGCGATGTTGGGATCAACTCCTTACTTCGAGACTCTAGAGCAGACGCTCTAACCACTGTGCCACGCGGGCGACTAAGCTTAATGCAATGAAAAGCTAAATGCAAGTATATTACATTTTGCATATTGAAATTTGATTAAGAGAATTTAACAATTTTTTGAGAGTTAGGGCCATATACTAGCTTGCGACTAATATAGAGGGAACATTGCTGGTAACCCCCCCCCCCCCCCCACACACACACACACACATTTCCTCAGTATCGGGATGTTTACTTATTCTTCACCGTTTTCGAATGAAGTGATCAAATTCATGTGTGATGCATGAAATATAACGGAACATGAACATCCTAAAAATACATGAATTGATATTTATCACTCGCAGTGTTGTCGCTGCATGTTAATTCACGAGGAATGGTTATACCTTTCATTCTTACTTTGTATTTGAATATGAATAATACTAGTGTAAATAAGTTGCTGGTCATCTTAACATGTTTCCGCAATTAGTGGAATGGTGAATAAAATTATATTTCGCATTTATGTCACCTTTTAGATCTTGCATATTCGAAATGTCAAGATACTGATACTCGTATGTAAACGTATATTACATTCAACATATGACGTTATGGTCATAAATAACGCCATAACCGCAACAATTTGGCAATATAAAAGCAAATTTTGAAATTATTTAGCGAAAAAAACCAGGGAGAAGACATATTGATTTTTTATCTCAATAGTTTTAATTTTACCTCATCCTGATATTTTGAAAATTCCTGACTAAGTCCTCTACGTCTTTAAAAGATTTTTTTCAAAGAAACTTGGCTTAAAAATGCCATTTTTCTATATATTTCAATAGTAAAGCGTAAAAATAGTACTAAAAACTAAACCGCATATACAGTAATATAGCATTAAAACTACGTAGGCAAATTTAATAAAAATTACATATAATATGCTGTAAATTCTAAGGAACACTGTATCAAATTTTCATTGTATCGAATTTTTATGAAGTTTACCCGTGACCTACCTTAACAATAATACTATATTTAACTATAGTATTTTTGTTAGGGTGCTTTGCTTAATAAGATTTCTTTTGAGGCTAATGGGCGCTATATAATTAACAATTTTAATTTTATGTGGAAATAGAAACATTTCATCGAGCTACTTATCATACATTTAACCGTTGAACGGTTGTCTAGACTACATTTTTTGTTTACAATTGCGCTTTCAATATTGAGGTAATCGGAATGTTTCGGAGCATACACGTACACGTAATACAAACTCACCGCTAAATAAATGGCCAAGATATTGAAAGAAAATTCTCTAGACCTTGAGCCATTTTTATAGACTATTTATTAGCTATATAATAATTATAGAAACAGTATAATTA